ACCCTGGAGGCGCTGCAACCACTGCGACCTCCTTCACCCTGGAGGAGTCATTCTCACCTTATCGCACCTATGGGTCTACTAGACAAGATAGTGTTTAAATTCGAAGAACTTACTCTTTCTGATAAAAGAAGAAATTCCGCTGAGATAGCGCAAAGCCAGAAATTTCCAAAATTGAAACGACGGTTTCGGGACGATCTTATGAATAAATCTGATAAAACAGTATTTTGTGGACCAGTTGGAGTATACAAAACAAGCTCCAATTCAGGAGGCACTTATTTTTAAGTATTTTTTTTTTCGACTTCGCTTTTCTTGTTGTAATCTTGGGATCCGGCGTTAGGGATGAAAGGAAGTTTGAGTTTTGACTGCTTGCTTGTGTGATTTCATCATTAGAATTGGTGATGCTAAAAGGCCTACTATAACGCTTCTCGCAAGTCAACATAAATGAAATTTTGATATGTTTTATAGACTCACATCGGGGAGCCATCGTCGCCTTTGCAATGGTTGTTCATCTCACGTTGGTGCTAAACTCGGAATGGCACTCAAAAAGTGACTGTAAAAGTTCTAGACACAAGAAATGCGTCTAGACCCATCTTAAGCTTAGAGCTTGGTAAAGACACTTGTCGGGAGAGCTGAGAATGTTTTATTTGAAAAATCAAGTTGAAAATTAATTGAAAAATTGCCTTACATCGAGCAACACAATGCAGCGGTGCAATCAGAGCAAAGAGCAAAATACAAACAAAATCTTATTGACATCTTTTTATGAACACATCATCATTTAATGGGTTTCCATCGCTTTAACAGTACCTGCGCAACGTTTCACTCCCATCTTCAAAAGCTTTTTAGAGTTTGTAATGACCTTCCGATTATAACTTAGGATTTACTTGCTAATAGATATGGAGATAGATATGAAAATTTTGCAGAGTGTTTGGCGAAAAATGTGTTGTAGATATCTTCTTTCTGTTTCGTTCCTTTCTCAAACGAAGTATAGGATTCATTGGCTAAAGCCTACAGAATTACATACAGATAGGATTCTACAGTCTGCCCCAATCGGGATCAGGCCGAACCGTCGGCTGAATTTGCGCGCTCGCAGCGCTAGGGGATTGCTCTGCATACGCGCGCTGTCGCAGAGAGTGAAGAGATTGAGGAGAGAGCAGACTAACTAGCCGCAGATGTGGCACGAAACCCTCGCGGCGCGGACTCCCGCCATGCCGATTTTGGCCTGGTTAGGATTGGGGCAGACTATATGCCCTTTAATCTTCACCTGAATTCACAGCTCATTATCATAGGCACATTGCAGAGAAGAGTATATGTGATAAGCCTTGTTTTCAACACTTCTGTGATTCTCTGATAGGCGTGCAATTTCTCTAGAGTCACATATTTGATGGGAGATTCGCATAACCAATCCAAGCAAATGAAAAGCAATCAAATCGCGGTTAAGATGAGTGCATGGCTATTTACGAATTATGAAAGTTTTGCAATTGACATAGCGCCGAAAAGGAATTGGTGGATGGGCCTTGCTAACTCTTGCTTTACCATAGCACCTTCAACTTCGAACTCATCGATTACTTCTATTCGCAGATAGTTATTGCTTGTAAAACATTTATACAAAAAATTAATGTTCGACAATAAATTTTACTAGCAAACGTTTTCTTTATGGAACTAAGCTCCTGTATATACTAGCCTTCTACACCCTTATCCCGCAACCAATGAAAGAACTTGACTTGAAGTGCGCATTGTGTAGATATCCTCGCAAGAACATAATTCTAGGATGAGATCGTATCTCGGCCACCCTTTAGGCCTCCTGAAATCTCCTATCACTAAGGAACTTGTTGAAATTTGATATGCTTTAGAAAGAGCAAGAGCACTTTCTAATGATACTAAATGTATCGCAATAGAGACGAAATCTTAGAACAGCTGCTTCAAATAAGGGAAAAAGTCGGACAGAACTTATGCAGCAGCCTATGTGGGAGAAATATGCGTATATTAGCCCATTAAAACCTCACGCGTGTATCGCAGTTTATGTGTATCGCATTTTTCAAATTCTCACACGAATAATATTACGAACGCCGCGAAACCTCTCTTTACAGAAGTTTTTCTTGAGCATAAATGCTTTTGCTTGATTTCCGGGCTTGAAATTCATGGCTGGGAAATTGTTTCATCGAGAATGCTAAGCAAATGAAAAGAACTGGAAAATTGCTTCTGTTGTTCGAAATCCTGCAATAAGTGTGAGACTTCAAGAAAATAGCTGCAGTAAAACAAGGCAACTAACAATAAGTAGTATTGTGACCGCAAGCAATGGTTTCCGAAACATGCTGTCGGATTAGAGCTTTGGCATACAAAACCCGGCAAGTTGGTATCCGGTCAACTTCAGGGAGAGGAAAGCAAAGGGGATATGTTGTTTTTTGCTGTTTTGAATGGAGCTTTGGTAAAATAACAGAGACATGCAACGGCAACACAGTATTTGCGCTTCCTCTCCATTTGTAGAAACAAAGCATGCATTAGTATCTATCTAGATATTGTAACTCGCCCTCCCAAAATCCTCAATTTTGTGAAGGTTGGACCAGGGCTACATACGCACCTCTCCACACGCGATGCGGGATGGCTTATGCCACAAACTAGAAAATCCCTGTCTATGACGAATACGCGTTAGTATGGCACCAACTATGCGCGCCAGGGTTGTCGCACTATGCTTGAAAATTTTGTGAAACTTTTGTAATATAAACCGTGTGCACATTTTCTACAAAGTTAGTGGAACTTTTCCAGCCATGTCCATGAGGAGCAGGTGGACCCAACTACATGCTTACGTCTTCCATTCCTTTATTTAGGTACCTGCACTTTATATGTCTAGAGATGTGGCTAGATAAGATAATCAAGATCTCTTTAAGCCTCATCCTCTTGGCTTCAGTACGGTCCTCTAAATTTACGGTAACGCAGTCCTGCCGTTTTGAACCACCTCGTGCACCAACGAGCAATCAAATGTCTTCATCGATTTATCAGTAATCACGCATTCAAAACCTGTCTTGCTTCGTCGAAAAGCGCTAAGAAGTTCAGAAACCTCACAAAGACCCGAGCGTTTCTTTGCCTTCAACTTTCGCGCTTGCGCAAGTTCAAGAAAATCTCCAACACCCCTAACTATGAACGACGCAAGGATACGAATCAGTCGGTCTATTTTGAATTAAGAACTACAATGATGACCTTGAACATGTGACTCGCAACTGAGAATTTATGATGTTTGATCAAAGAATTTGAAAGAGGGAAAAAACGATGCGATGTGTCATTGAAGTGCTCACGCAAATTAACTTGTATAATAATCAATACGCGGGCAAATGCGCTGAGTTGCATTGAAAAGGCAAGAATTGCTATATGTTGAAGCTAAGAACAGATGAACGCGCAATCGAAATGTTGCATGATAAACGCGTGTAAGGTTCCGTAACATTCTGATGTTAAATATTTTTCTCAAACTTGCGCTTGATCGTCAAAGGTTTGAAGAAGAAAGAAGGCACGAAAAGTGACTGTCCTTTCGTCCACATCTAGTCAATTCTGTTTATCGAACTACTTCCTTTTCCAAAGTTTTTGAGCTTTTATTTTTAGACCACATAATTTTTTGGATACAGGCACCTGCTGCACAAATGTATGTTTGGAGATCATTTCTGTACTCTGTAAATCAGTTAACGTCGTCGTTAGTCCAAAGTGTTTGCATGCATACTTCACTATAGTTCAAACCGACTTTTGTGATCTCCCGTCATTAGCAATATCAGGGCTTGCTTACCTTCCCTGTTCCGTGAAATATATCCTCGTCTAAGAAAAATATAATCACAGCTCTGCGAAACAATAATGAGCACCAAGTTTCTCTCCCTTTATACTGATCTCTTGCACTAGCACGTCTTTGCCACCATCAGCCCAACATTTTTTTGGTTTATTTTGTAACCCCTTGCAGTATACCAAGCGACTTCTTTATAATAAAATGAAATGAAGTTTCTGCTCTATTCTACCACTCGTTTTAGAGCTTGATGAGAGCTAGAAACAAAGACCAAAAAAGGAGAACTGACAAACAATCAAAGAGACTTTGCAGAACTTATGTAAAACAAGGATTTCGTTTTGAACAAATGTTCGATGTTAGCTTTCACCAGGCTCTGGCGTACAACTTTACAACAATATCATGTAACATAAAAAAGGTAAACAATTTGAAGTGGAGTAAACCCTGAAATTTCACGAGATTATACAAAGGCACTCAATGGCTGCTTTCTTGGCAACATTCTCCTGTCTTTGCTCAGGTCGAAAGGATGAGGGTTTTGAGATGATTACGAAAACTACATTTTTTTTACAACATCAAGACATACAGCTCTTTTTTGCATCTTAAATATGAGATACAAATACTTTTGAACCCTGGGATTGCCAGTTGGATGCCTCTCATCTTGTATTTAATTTGATTTATCCTAATCCTAATTGAATTAGTCCCAAAATTTCGCTCGCATTATCCTTTTCCTTCTTATTTGATGGCAAGCAATTTTCATTTTTGAAATTTTCGCAAATTTTCAATGTAATGGGAACAACAAGCACATTTTTCATTTTCGCACCCATTCAATGCTTCAAACTACGAGGTACATACGAACACGAAATAAGTTTCACTTACATTAACTGACAGAAAACCTGTCATGATGGCGAAAACATTAACGTAAAAATAAGTACAACAACCAACAGGAAAGAGGGCGGCGCAGCGCGGTCACAGTCGCTTCAAAAGCAGAAGTAATACAATAAAGAATTCACTATGGGAATCTTATTCACAAGTCACTTTTCGAAAAGACTTTTCTCCTCAAGCTCAAAACCCGTTATCCGATTTATTGATAATTGAGGAAAATCATTTGGTATTTGTTATCAATTGAGAATCAAGGCGGGGTTAAAGAAAAGCACAGTATTTTCCAGACTGTTATGACGCTCCTGTGTTCAATCGTTTATTGACCTTCTGTGTATATTTGTGTGTTGATTTTCGCATTATTCAGGAACAGCCAGCTCATCAAAGCCGATCTATCGGGATGTTGTCTCCAATCCTTTCTTTCTCACTTACTCTGTCAACTATAGCTAGTGTCACTGCTGACAATATGACACTCGCACTCGTGCAAGTGGTAAGACTATGGTGTGACGAAGTTTGTTAAGCCGCTGACCTGCTGCTTTTTTGGACCTATCGCGGATCACATGATTAACAAATTCCATTTTTCATGTTCTCACTAAAAGACAAAACTTTATGTCAGTCATCTCAAGGAAGAGCATGAGGATAGAAAAAATAGTACTATAATTTATAGTTTCTCCACCTCAAGAGCTCTCAAGTACATACTTATGTGTTAAGATTAAACTCACAAATCGACAGATCCATTGAAGCCAATGCCCAGATAGCAGCCACAACATGTCGCTTTGAACTGAGAACCCCAAGTCGGCACCTCCCCCCCCCTCCAGTAATGCGCGACCATCCGCGCCCATCCAATTTACCGCCTCGAAAAACTCCAAGCCTGTTTTCCGAAACGACTGGGCGCGGATTGGCAGTCATTACTGGAGGGAGGGGGAGGGGTACTTGGGATTCTCATAGCTCTTCGCTACTCCGAAGCGATTTTCTCGCTTCAGAAGCGACATTTTGCACTGCGACTTGGTAGGCGGTCCTACTATAGATAGTAAGGTGCCAAAAGCGCTTCTCAACTTAGGCTGAAGGGTGCTTACAAGCGTAGTGGTGCATATTTGTCAAATTTTCATAATAGTGCGTTCATTTTTTCTGGCAAATGTCAAATATGACGAAGACGACAATGTGACCCATGTGGTAAGTAACGCAATGACTGTCTGGAATAGTATGAGTCACAGTCATAACTAAGACGTTGAAGTGGCTGCTAAGCTGTGGAAAACTCACTGAGTTTTCTTAAGCGCTGGATTTGAAGTAGATTTCGCCTTCCTAGAAATCTCTTGGAGCTAACGAGGGAGAGTTCCCAAGTCAACTCGGCCAACCCGGATGAGTCATATATCACCGTAACGGGCTTGAAACGCTGATTCCAAATCTACTTTCCTTTTCTGCGGAGCGACTTTCCGAGAGAAGTTATGAGCGTTTAAAAGTCTAGATTTGTCATGTTTTAAGTGGCTTAAAATTGGCGAAACCTGTACAATAACACATGAAAGTGATTTATCAGTTTTGTACCAAGTATATTGACTACAAGGACGGGACACAGATAATGAAATTCCGTTAGGTGTTGTTTTACAGCTTTCAACTGATTTTAAGCCATTTTGAACATGACAAATTTAGAAATTTAAACGCTCATAACTTCCCTCGGAAAGTTGCTCCGCAGAAAAGGAAAGCAGATTTGGAATCAGCGTTTCAAGCCCGCTACGGTGATATATGACTCATCCGGGTTGGCCGAGTTGACTTGGGAACTTTCCCTTGTAAGATAACTGTGCTATAAGTGACAACCAGCATGTATTAACTAAATAAATTTGACTCCTCCGGACAGGCTTTGTCCAAGAAGGCGAAGAAGTTTTTTGCCCGTTGTCGTCAACGTGTTGAGTGCGCCATGTACCGCTCAATTTCTATTTCGTTGGGAAGTTCACAAAACGATATTCAGAAAACAAAAAGACTGAACAAAAATCGAAAAATCATTGCTCAGCAAAAGGTTCGCTGTTTCAAATGCCGAAAAACTTGGACATATAAGGGCAAAACGTGGTTGCGAGTTTTAGTTATCTTTAAAGGTTTTGATCGAAGACCTAGTTGCTGAGGAGAGGAAAAAGAGCGCGTTATATACAATCGTTTCTTGTTCAAATTGCGGATAGGTCTGAAAACGGCATAGAACTTTTCTTCCTGTCTAATTATTGCAAGAGCAACTACTCCAATTTTAGTTTTGTTTAAAAAAATGAGCGCAGATTTGGCGGCATGGAGACAGATCACCCACATTGACCCACCCAAGTGATCCAATTCAAGAAAATGATTGGAAATTTGGAGGAGGAGGATGGGGACAGCTTTCGCCGGTGAATCTTTTATATTACGATGCGGCAACTTTTGAATCCCCCTATTAAGATAGGAATGAAACAACATTTCAATTTTGGAAAACAGTTACGAAAACGCTATGTTGATACTGGGTTTCTCAGCAAGACATATAATTCAAAGGAGGTAAGCACATAAGTCAAAGCTTAGCTATGATTTGATATCGCAGCCTCTGAGAAGAAAATGACATGACAATGACATCTCTTTCCTTTGAAAGAGCCTTAGTTTTTTTTCTGATGCCGCTAATATTGGTGCGCGGTAGTAAGTAGTTGAAATAACTTTCTCGCTTTTCCCGAGGTCCTATGAATGCCAGAATTTCATGCAAAATCTTGCAGATCTATGTTCGCTCAACAGACTATAATAGAACCATAATTTCCTCTATGTCAAATTTGCTGGGTATGTATACCTACAACAACACTGCAAGCGTAAAGGGCACAGACTATCCAGACGTACAAGGATGGCCGGCAGGATTCATTCCAATTGCAGTGCATACCGTTGAACATGACACTGACCATGTAAGATTTTAGGTCGCTTATTCTATTTAAGTAATTTTGCACGACCGATGTCTATTAACATTGCAGTTGCTAATCCCTCATGCTCCTTGTCATCGCATGTCTTGGCTGTTTGAAATGCTGAGAAATCAATCCGACGAGGTCAGGGAATATCTAGGAAGAGAAGATGTAAGATTTTCTATCTGGTCGTCTTAGATGCTACTTACAAGGGAAGGACCCTCAGTCGAAGTGGAGTTCCCACACGTGATGCATATCATTGTGTCAGTCTTGAGACACTAATAGCAATCCGTGTTCCTTATCTGCTCAATGATCTACTGGGAGAAGTTACGAGCTATGGTTTCTCCAAAATGACCACGAATCGCTAAAGTTAGCGTAGCCGAGAAATGTAAGTGGTGGAGGGATGGCCGAGTGGATAACTGTGGAGGCTATGGAGGAAGCGTAAAACGTTCGAAATACTTATATTCCAACCATTCTTCCACTTTGTAAATTGTATTGTTTGATATGTATTCTTAGAGCGCATTAAAGGCAGTGTCCGGGCAAAAACTCGATTTCGAGATTTTGTGCTTACCCGGGCCTATTCGCTACGCTGAATCCGAAAATGCGCATTGGAAAGCGCGAAAACGGCGAGAAAGGGGTCTAACGCAGGAGTGAAATCAAAAGTGGGCGGGGTCTTCCCCACTATGAATTTCGCAGTCCCGGCTTCTGAAGCAATTTTCTCAACTCCGCTAGCCCTCTGAGATCTCCACAGGCCAGGTGCAAACGCATGACTTGAAATCGGGACCGAGAAGACCGCTGAAGCTTGGAGCGTGAGTCCACAGTGGGGAAGACCCCGCCCACTTGCTGATTTCCCTCTAGTGTTAGAGCCCTTTTTCGTCGTTTTCGCGCTCTCCAATGTGGATTTTTGGATTCAGCATAGCGAATAGGCCCGGGTAAGCACAAAATCTCAAAATCGAGTTCTTGCCCGGACACTGCCTTCAAAATCCTGAGTTGTTGAGTTTTGCCGATCCACTGTCTTCAAGGCAGAGGAAAACCCGGCACCCGTTGAATAATTTCTGTTGGTTTGGAACAGATTTGGAACATAAGTATTTCGAACGTTTTACCACTTCCTCTATAGTCTCCGCAGCTATACACTGGTCATCCCTCCACAAATGATATTTTTCGGCGCCGCTAACTTAATCGATCCGTGGTCACCCTGAGGAAACCCTTTCTTTAACTTTTTCTGAAGATCACTGAGCAGCTAGAACACGGATTTGGTATTAGTGCCCCAAGACCAGCACAATGATATGCATCTCGTGCGAGAACCCCACTTCGACCGAGGGTCCTTCCCTTGTTAGATGCTAGCCTGCTGTCCTTGTAAGCTGAAAGTAACAACCTGGAAGTTGTGTCATCAACACTTCGGTTAAATGTCATGTAGCTTATATTCAAAGGGGCTTTACAAAAAAGCTCTGATTGAAGAGTGAAAGTGCTCAACACAAGCGTTGGATCAGTTAAGAGCTATCTAGGTCGAGCTGCCTTTCGGGCCAGTATACGCGCACATGTTAAGGAAGGGAGGAAAGCTTCAAATAATTGCCTCAGGTATTGATGTTGCAAGCTTGTTCAAACCTTTTTTATGATTTTGAGGATTGCCCAGAGTATCGTCGCTGAAAGCATTGTTTGACAAAGTCAATGCACATTTCGTAAAGCTGTGCAGATGATCTACAGGGTGTCCCAAAAAAATGTATCGAACGTTTGATCGTTAATATCTCTCTTCTATAGAAGTCTTCTCCTTTGCTTCAGGTACCAATCTGTAGAGCTGGCTTCAACTTAGATTTGCATTATAGAATGAACCACCCATCTCTCTTCATTACTGTAGGATTATGGTAGAAACTTCGAAGAGGATTTTAAGCAATGAAAGGCCATATTTTGCCCCAGAAAGGAAATAGAACAGCCTGAAAACTTTTACACTAGGCTAATTAGAGTTGATGATTATAACTGTGAAGTTCCCAATTTATTATGATGCTTCATTGAAGAGTTATGTCAGGTAAAAGGTAGCGGACATTTTTTCAATGTTCCTAAAAAGTGCGGTTACACCGTTTAGAAAGCTTCCTAATCTTGTGAATAGTTGAGTATTGAACTCAGCGCCCATAAAAACCCTGATACACAAGTTTTCACATTTTTTTGAAAAATTTTGAAACGGTAGCTTTTTCCACATTTACACCATATGTTTCCAGTTTCTACCGTAATCCTACAGTAATGAAGAGAGATGGGTGATTCATTCTATAAGGCAAATCTAAGTTGAAGCCAGCTCTACGAAACGGTACCTGAAGCAAGGCAAAAGACTTCTTGAGGAGAGAGATATTAACGATCAAACGTTCGATACATTTTTTTGGGACACCCTGTATTAGGTTGCCTACAAGTTTTATCCGTTTTAATTTTCAACCGCGACAAGTCATCTTCCACCACCCATGAGTTGGAACCAAGTGTTGAAAAGACTCAACTGTCCAAAAAATCGGAAAAATCGTAACTCTTCAAAAAGTCCTACGGGGAAGAATCCTAACTTTCTTAAGAGTACACGTTTCACATTAGATACTCAGCTATACCTTCGTTGTGTTTTTTCCGTTAGTGACCAAGAAAACGAGTTCTTTTCCATGCTTATGTCATATTGTTGCCGTGTTATTTCACATCAGTAATTGTATACTATGAACTGAAAGTACAAATGTGAATCTTGAGCTTTCTACAAACTTTAGTTCGAGATTCATACTTCCTTACTTACCCAGATAATCGAAGGGCAGACGGCTGCGATTTATGGGCAAGTGCGCATCGGAAAAATAGTTCGCTGTCTTGCGGTCTGCTTGCAGAATTTAGGAAGAATATTGGCCAATTTTCAGACTAGATTAGTTGCGGCGCATCGCATTTTCGCGGGCTTTCCGCGGGAATGTGCAGAATTATTGGGGGCCGCGCGGTTCTTTGTGGAGGACCGTGCAGCCCGTAGGTACCTACCGCTAAGAGGAGGTACCCCAAATTTGGGTAATCAAGTCATCGATGGTACCTTCGTTATATAGAGCGTTACCTCTTTTCGCCGTACACCCGAAACAAAAAAGAGTCCGAAGGCCTGCTGAAAGTTTTGCCAGCGCTCGCTGAAAGGGATTTGACAAGCGCTTGCAGAAAATTTTGTATTGCTGCCCGCTGACAGAGTATGGACAGCAAAGGAAGTACCGCTTTTTGGAGGTTTGGCCACGTCCCAAAATTCTGCTGACCGCTCGCAGAAAAGCGCGAGTTTGCGGACCGCCTGCTTCCGACGATTATCTGAGTAGCTGGTAATCATCCTATTATAAAATCGGTGTTCGTGTCAAAATTAGCGCGCGCAAGACAAACAGTCATGAATAAAATTAAGATCAAAAGTTGCTTAGCGCCCTTTTACGACTAAGCTTATGTCACTGAGGTGGACGAACAGCATGGCTGTTTCCGCTACTATCGAATAAACAGTAGTTAATGGGGTCATGGTTCATGATCCAAGTAATATTCTTCTAGGTACTAAACATCGATTCAACAGTAAAACAATATAACGAGATGTACTGCATTGTTCAAAACTTACTTTAAGGTATAGTTTACAAAAGTACATTGATTTTGATTTTAAGGTAAAAGGGATTTTCGCTAATGTGACTGCGAAAGCTGGAGGAGTTTACGACGAGAAAAATATATGGGAAGTGCGCGATGTTTGGAAAATTGAGGTAACTGTCACTATAATGGACTATACGCATAGCTTCTCGAGTTACGGTTTTTTTCTCATTTTCAGCAGGTTCATTATCCAGAAAGGTTGAAAAAAGTAGACTGGTACTCTGAAAAACTGTACAACAAATTAGCTGAGATTTCTGATAAGATCTCACTCTTCGATAATGGAATATATGGTGAGGCTAGCATTCAATTTTATCATTCTTTTGATCAAAAGAAAAAATCTATCACTCTCTCACGTGAGCTGCACTTATAATTAGGTCTTGAGTACCCATTGGCCCACAGTAAAGCTCGATCGGTTCAGGTGAACTGAACTTATCATCAATTGAGCTTGAGTGAGGTGAACTGATGACCGCCACCTTCCCATGCTATATGCATGGCGAGTGAACTGATAGTTGATCATCCGTTGACTTGCTGCAGTCACCTCTTGCACATCAGTTCACGTTCAGTTGAACTGAAGTGAACTGATGTTAGACGAATACAAACAGTGTGTAAAAGAAAAGACGCAGACAAGACTCCCGTATGTTGCTCCTGAGTAACTTACGGTACACAACACTTTGCCTAACACTGCAGACCAAATCGGCGGAAAACTGCACGACCGCGCCCGAAAAGGAGAGGATAGATGAACAGCTGTTTTTGGCGAGGAGAACAAAAAAAACCGAATTCTTCTCCTTCTTGTAAAGTTTACTGATTTTTTTATTAGAGCTATCCGAAACGGGAACTCATTTGTTCATTTCATTAGATTCACGCTGCAACCATTTCGTTTTTTCGTAAAATTAGTAGTCACAAAATGTGTTTTTGTTTTATCCGTGCATTTGCTAGGTGAAATCCTTGATAGCGGTCATCATCGATTGCGATAGTGGCCGCTATCAAAGATTGCCCGGCGATGCAGCAAAATGCGTACCTCTAGACGGTACTCGAACCACGTTCGCGCGCGTGTAAGTCCAATCGCTTACCCTTTTGACCAGACTAGCTCGAGTGGTCACTTTTTCAAGAACACACTTGTTTGTAATGTCTAGGAAACGATCCCCATTCAGATCAATAGCTCACCGGATGCTAGACTGAGGCGCGATGGAATCAACCGCTGTTTGTCTCAAGAGAGCTGCCCTGATGGGGGTTTACTAGGGCCATTGCCTCAAAGCGGTTCACAAACAGCTGGTTACCTGGTACCAAATGATAGTGAAGCTTTTGTACTGTCAAAAACTCTCATCAAAGCAGACAACGCACACAAGCAAGTCATATTCATTGCTGATTGTCATCGCTAATTTGTTGAAAGGGGATAGTTTCGACCTGATAATAGTCTACGAACAAAGTAGAGTTCTAGAGGGTCTCGTTCTCCATAATAACAAATATATGATATTGCAATTGGCTGCGTGCAAAAGCTCAGATTCTACCACATATTTCGCTGCAAAATATTGCTTTTTGGCGGTATTTGTGCTATAATAGTAAATTTTCAGGTTCTATATTTTTTCACGAAACCCTGTAAAAAGTAACTAATGTCAGAGTCGCAAAAAATTTGACCCACTAAAGTTTACGCAAAGTTGATTTTACACAAGAGCACAAAGTTTGCCTTTGTGCTTCTTGTGTATGTAAGCATGCCTACGCATGCTTCGAGCAGAAATTTTTTACTACCAAAACCAAACTTTGGTGCGGGAGTCGTGAGTTTCTTATGAAAAACATCAATATGATTTCTGACAGTTGAGGTAAAAAGCTTAAAGCTGAGTTTTGGGGACAATTGGGCATGCTAGCTACAAAAATTTAGCCCACACGTCCGGCAAAAAATTACTAGATTTCATCGAATCTGTTAATCGCAACTTTGAGCTGAAATCCTTTTTTGTGGGGAAAAGTGGTTAGAAAATCGCAGAACTTGTTGAGACCTTCAACGACAACGTTGATTTTCTGCATAGACACTATATAGAAGTAATGAATGTGCGTTAGCACAAAACGAACAGGTTGGCTTTTTATTAGGTTATTGCAAAAATAATGTCCGTTTTGCGTTTCACCTTGAAAGGCTATAACTTTGTCCAGCCTCCATATTTTCGAATGCAATCAAGACAGTCGAAAGCGGCAAAACGTTCGTTTTTTCTTTTTTTTTCTTTTTTTCTTTTCTTATTTTTCTTTCGAAAACCTCGTCTTCAAAAAATTACAGCTCATTTTGAGTTTTGATCAGCGTATTTTGTAGATGCAAGCCAGTGGTATACGACCGCATAAAAAACTTCAACGAAGGGGGTCTGCGAAAAGAAAAGATAAAAACCCAAATTTGTTCACTTTTTTGCTTATTTGTGGCGGGCCAGAAGCCCCCAAACTAAAAAAAAAATGAATTTTTTATGCACCGAGTAGTTAAGTTTTCTGCAAAAATTGTAGGACTGACTTCAAGCATGCAGAAATGAGCGAAGCTTCGGCGATTGCTCCAATTATAAGAAACTTTGAGCCCATAGAATGCCAGCAGCTAGTATCTATTTCGGGAAGTCGATTTCCCGGTCCATATATTTTCGAAAAATCCACTTGAACATGCTATAGGTAAACAATGTTCAGTAAACACAGTAGCTACGTTTTTAAAAGAGTTCGTTCATTTGCACCTGAGTGGCCGAAGTTAAAGCAACGAGATTTCGATTTTGAGTGCAGCTGTGCGAGATGCTGGTGAAATTCTCACAGATGAGATAAAAGTTTAATTTCACGACCATTAGAAAGTACATGAAGAAAGCTTTCCAATGATATGCAGAATCTATACCGAAAAAAAATTTTGAGGAAAAAAGTTGTTAGGAAAGACGCCTAGGAAAACGGACATTATTTTTGCAACAGCCTAATAATATCGTCGTATAAAATCTTTGATATCGAGTTCTTAGACTAGAGCGCACGATCTTTACACTTACGCTATTAGTTTTACTAATTCAAAAAGATTGCCGATATGAAATTACCAACTTTTGAGTGTTCATAATTGTCATCTTTAATTCAGTGACTTGGGACTTGCGATAGTAGTGGCAGAAAAATTGCACTGAGTGCGGGGAAGCGTGTGGGATCTTTCAAGGACAAATGACGGGGCCACGTAGAGCATAGCACGCCGACTAGTGTTTTGTGAAGTCTGGAATTGAAACGTACATTGACAGCAGCAAATGTAGCAACTGTTTCACAGCCTGTCCCTTTCCTAATGTTCAGCCGTTCATAGACCCTTCTCGTAAATAACGTAAGAATTTTCTTATCTACGTTTGACTGTATCAAAGATGGCTGGGCCTCGATTATGTATAGTTGTAAATCCATACTGACAAAACCAATTCCAATATCTTGGCTATCCCTTTCTCAACATATACACTAGGCTGTTGCATAAGTTCTGTCCGATTTGAATTTTTGAGTTTAAAATGTCATACTTCTTTCAGACTCAACTTTTTTCCAAGGTCTTAGTTTCTATGTGTTGAGCACTCCCTTGGCTAAAAAATGCATATTGAGATCTGCGCAAATCTTTGTTAAGGAAGAACCAAGAATGCAAAAACTTCGCAGCGTTTTTCTTCGAATCTGTCTTTTTTGACATGGTAACGCTCCCTTATGAAAATTGATAGGCATCTTTTCTAATAATGGATGGATAGAGAAATTTTCGTAGATTATTATGCAACATAAAAGAGCCCATAGGGTTTGCGCTGCCGAGAGATTTTCTTGACCGAACAAAAAATTAGCCACTTTTTGACCTCGCTTCAGCACATGTGTGCATGCCTATTTATGAACTACGAACGTTTTACAACTGACGTGAGCGCCGAAAAGGAATTGGTGGATGGGCCCTGTTAGCTCTTGCTTTGCCCTAGCACCTCCAACTTTGAGCTTGTCGATTACTTCTATTCGCAGAAAGTTATTGCTTGTAAAACATCTATACCAAAGATTTATGTTCGAGGATAAATTTCACTAGCAAGACGTATTCTTCATGGGACCGAACTTCTGCATATACTAGCATTCCATACCCTTATTCCGAAGCCAATGAAAGAACCTGACTTGAAGGGCGCATTGTGGAGATATCCTCGCAAGGACATATTTCTAGGGATAGAACGTACCTCGGCCACTTAGAGATTTTAGGCCTGTGATCTCCGTACACTAAGAATTTTATTGAATTCTGGTATGCTTTAGAAAGCGCAAGGAAAGCACTTTTCAATGATACCAACCGTATCGAATTAGAAATGAAATTCTCTTAGAACAGCTGCTTCAAACATGAGGCAAAAAAATCGGACAGAACTTATGCAACAGCCTAGTATTCAAATACACAAAGAATGTAACAGGGGTGGTTAAGGATATATCCCGGTTACAACCTTATTCATGCAAGCATGGGTTTCAGCACTAAATATTTTATCCAAATGAGAGAATAGCGATCAACAGCGAACAAAGTCGTGACAGTTTAGCAATCACGAAACGCTATGCCTCCTAATAAGCCGCCAAATTGTCAGTCCTCGGAATTGGTCTGTTACAAAAATACGATGAGGAATTATTTACATTGTTCACTGCAGTAGGAGAGCTGCATAACAAGTGAGGTTCATTTCTGTAATTGCATAACTGTCTTTTGAAGAAGATCAGAAGAGCAAATACGTAAGTTCAAATATCTTTCATGATGGCCACTCCGAACTTGCGAAGCAGAAATGAAGCACCGGCATGCAATAGTAGGGATCAATCGATTTGTCCTCCTTGGCACGGTTGTTGTCTAGGTCACGGTTGTAAACGGGTTGATCCGGATTTCTTCGTCATCTCGTTTAAATTTCTAACAGTTGTTTCCACATTGTCTTTGCTCCCCCCCCCCCCTGTCCGCCATTATATATAACTGCTAAAAGGTCAATTTCATCTTTTTTTCCGTCATCGAAAGTTGGTAGTGTCATCAACGGTGGCCTTCGCCACTACAAGGTTATTCCCAAGTAGCTCTACATATGGATCTAGAAGTACAGATAAAGAACGTGTACAGAGCGTTTGTTTCATTACTGGAGGGCAGAATGGATATTTACTATTTTGCTAGTAACGAAACTCATACAGATTTCTTTTTGAAGAGCGCGGTCCTGTGAGTATAAACGGCCTCGATGTTGGACTGGAGTTGCAGAAGATACGTGGAGGCTCACTCATAAATGATTTGAATAAGCGTATGTACATGAAATATGATTGCTTGAATAGACAACACGAAGCTCAGTGCCGTTGGATAAAAAATCTCAAGTACCTCATTTATTCAGCAGTAAGCGAGGTTTTGTAATTTTTTATAACTAGCTCATTTCGAAGTAATTCAGCACGATACCACCGTTTTCGCTTTTCTCAATGTTATGGGGATCCAGTCTGAAGTCGCTAAAGGAGAATATCCAGACTATACTGCAGCTGCATTTGTTGAACTATACACTAATGCCGGTGGTGAACCATATTTCAAGGTATTTTATTTTTAAGGGGTTTTAATTCCCCCGCAACCAACATTATTTGCAGATTTTGTACCGTCCCAGTGACAAAAATGAAACAATTTATTCTGTAACCCACTTTGTACCTGACTGTGGAGGAAAGGAGTACTGCAAACTAGATGTCTTCAACAAGCGCGCTGAACGGGTGAAACCGGATCAAAACATGATCGAGGCAAGTATCTCGAGCCTTGTTTCATATTTTTGAATTGAAAAAAATAGGAGAATGGGAGAAATGGTGCATTCGTATTTTCTTCAGCATTTTGTAAACAAAAATTCATTTTTTTTACGATATCTGATGCAGTGGTTCAATAACGGACGGCAATAATCCAAAGACTCCAAGTTTTTATCCATTTATTTATCACGCTCAGGGCCTGCCACATCGAGTGCGATAAAGGGTGTAATAGATGTAATGGAACTCAAATGCTGTAACGAGAAAGAAAAATAGATCAAAACCCCCAAATTGTTGAAGTCCAGTCCCAAATGACTTGGAGGAAGGGCCCAACTCAACAAATGGATTTGTAAGCCAGTTCAAGTGTCGATGGCTTATAACTCAATAAAATCGATATAACTATCAAAGAATACAGCGATCGAAGCTATTTAGCATTGTAAAAAAGAAACAAGAAAAAAGTGGGTGTTAGTTTATTTAGAACAAAGGTAGCCAAAACGATGGCTCCAACACCGCAGAGAGCCAACAATTGTAATGAGCCGAAGCCAATAGTAGTAAAGCACTAAAACAAAATAGCAACAGTGTGTGCGAATAGTGCATAGTAGGGGTAGTGAGTATCCAACGCAAGTCACTACGAAGAAAATCGAGCAGTAGACTTAACATAGAACCTTGGACAAGGACAGGGCCCAAACGATTATAATTGAAGTTCGCTATATCTGATAAATGAGCATAGTGAAGACTAGCAGAGCGCTTAACTGCTTCAAAAAAGTACAGGGTGGTCCACATGAAGTGTGACACGACGAGAAATATTATAATTTTATGGACTGAGTGAAATCAAAAGCTTCTGTCCTCACGTGATAGAGAAGAGATTTTTGTATAAGTGTAACAGCGGGCTAGTGTCTAGTGGTATTTAAGGTTTCCACCTTGATAACGGAACACACGAACAGATCGAAAACAATAAAATTTATCCGTATGCAAAACAATCAGTAACAACGTCTATTCGACTAGTTCCAGAACCCATTTTAATCTGGATCACTAGGTTATCTATTTGCCCTACAGTACTAGTTACCTTACTAGTTAACTCTTCTTCTAGCGGCCCTCTGTACCTGACCGCTGCTCTACTCTCGTTAAGGTGTCTGCTAACCACCTGTGGTAGCAGCTCTACCCCCATTTTGATGAGCTCTAGTTGCTCTACTATGTCTAAATGTCCAAGCTCTCTCACCTGGTTCATTCTCCTCTCTTCGTTCTCTTTTTCTTCCATTTCGATGACGAAAACTCTTATCTGAAAACAATTCCCTTTTGTTTCCACAAATTTTCACTCAATACGGCGATAAAACGCGATACACGGCAAGGAAATCGAAGAGATAATCGAAAATCAATCGATACAAGCGCTTCCGTAAGCGCCTGGATACGTGGATTGATAAGGATAAGTCGATTCCTCACTCTAGCGATCAATTACTCTTGCCCCTTGTCGACATGTGTGGCCTTAGTTGCTGGTTCTGCACCGGATCAATCGATCAGCTCGTAATCTTCCAATTAATCAAGGTGTTGGCTCGGCCCCCATGTAACTGCGGGCTAGTGTCTAGTGGTAATTAAGGTTTCCACCTTGATAACGGAACACACGAACAGATCGAAAACAATAAAATTTATTATGCAAAACAATCAGTAACAACGGCCTCAGGGCCAACAACGAACGAAAGAACAACAAGAAAACCACGAAATCGGGGGGAATATCCCGATTTGTCCCTCCAGCAGGGCTTTACACGGTCACTTTGGATCAATTCTCGATGAGTTTTCACATGGGGATGTCTGGCTCTCTCCTGACCAGTTTTCGACTCCCGCGAGCCTCTTCTGCTCGCGGCCCCCCTCTATCTTGCCCTTTTATGCCCTGCTGAGAGGGTAAAATCGCCTCTTCTTTCCGCCAATTCCGTGTTGGTGATCAGCGACCGCATCTTCCAACATAAGAACTTAAAGCTAACTCTTGAGATACCTGTCCCTGGTTGTTTTAAAATCGTGTTTTCTCCTTCAAACCTCTTCCAAAATTTCTTCGATTTGCGCGCGATGGTTTTTGCTTCCAAACTCTCACCAGGTTTCTCGTCGGCAAATCAATGACATGCGTTTCAAAGGGCAGATTCTTTCCTTTCAGGCAGAAAAAAAGAGTGTTTGTAGATTTAAGGATGAACGAGCTAGAGGGCCAAATATCATTTTTTTCCACTGTTCAAACGATGGATTTTACACAGCTGCAATTTTTTCTTTTCGCTGTGGATTGTGTGCTAAAAGTTCCCAAAAGCGTCTGTCTTATTTCCCTTGATCCAATAAGGTGCCATAGCAATACAAAGTTTGATTTTGATGCTTTTTCCGGAATCTCGAAAAATTGCGATTTTCGTTGCCATGGCGACTGCCTTTAAAAACCTTCGAGCCTGACCATGTTTTGCTAAGAACCGAAGTTGGGATCAACCACAACGAGACAAAATAATATGGAGACGACGACTACCACCAAAACATGAAGTGAAAAAGACTAGAACATGAATCTTTTTGCAGCCAGTCAAACATCATGTGGGCCACGTATGAAAAAAACGCTTTTCGACCTTTCCACTCGAACATTTTTGAACCCACAAATTCTCTTTCTGGTCTAATCATAAGCAAAACGCCCGTTCTTCCAGAATCCTTTCATTGGATTTGCTAAAAGGAGATCCTGAAACGAAGTTCCATCAAAAACCATTGCGCGCTTTTTAAAATTGTCTCCGAGCAGAGTAAATTCTTTCATCCAAGCCAAAGGTGGATATACCAAAAGTAATCTACAATACCCTATACAGAAATTTCTTGTCTATCTGATGAAAACAAAAGCTTTCAATTTTATCGAGTTCTAGCAAAGTTACGAAAGCTTTTGTGCGTCACATTTCATGTGGACCACCCTGTAGTGTCACCATTTACTCACAAGAAAATCAAGCCGAAAAGATAGTTTACGTCTAAACTTATCGCTATCACTTGAAGTATCACCCAAATGATAACCGACCAATCCACCTTACAGTTCGACTAAAGAAAAATTGAGAACCATTGCGTAATGAGCCCTATTCATTCTATCATAATCAGGCCAAACACTCCTCTTCTAGAATAGGTTGTTCGAAGCCTCGAGTAGGAAGCGATACTTCGCCGACAGGTCCCCCTCGTACGGACAGTTGGAAATCTGTAGTGTCCATGATATTCATGGCTGCGTTGTCTGTTGCAAGTGTCCCCGTGAGACCACCTCCTTTCGACATGTAGTCCTCTATCCCAAAACCTCCAGTACGTACTAAGGTTCAAATTATTTTCTATTGCGAGTGTACTAAACAAGAAGTAAATCATTATAGACTCTGAAAAGTAGATGCATGCATTGACAGGTCTGTGCATTGACAGGTCTGTCATTTTTTCTTCGTAATTTCTCAGGTTCAAGCGCAGTTCGCGGATAAATGATAGAGTAATAGCCTCGTGAGATTCTCCTTAAAATTTTGAAAGCCCAACACTACTTCCGGTGAAATTAGAAAGATTGAAAAAGTAAATTCAGAATATTTAAAAAACTACCCAGCTTTTAAAACTTCGTAATAACCTCTCTTGGCCTCAATCAGAAGATTTTGGCGAGTGCACTACGTGGGGCGCAAGTCCGTGATCAAGTCCATCCAAAAAATACTAGTTTATGCGCTTTCTGTTGACATACTCATAGACCCAGGCGCACCTTTTTCCCACATTGACAAGCTCACTAGCGGTTGTTCTGATTCAGAAGTTTATCGTGTAAGAAACATTTGTTGAATTTTCTCGCACTTTTCACTCCGTATCACCCTAATGTGTTTCAGAATTTCTCCGTAATCGGCAAATCATGCGTAGCCGATGGCCTCAAAGTACAATTTGTCAAAAGTTTTACCTTACTTTGTTGAAAAAATTTCAAAATATGGTCTATTTTTGCGAGATGACAAATTGCTATAGTGACAAGAAGGACTTGTACAGTCTAAATTTCAGTGGTGCGAAGTAAACCCGTGGGGCAGCGCGATCGGTGACAGTTCATCCACTGTGTTATCCATCACAAGTTTTGGTGAGCCTTTTTAGTCAGATCACAGAATGCTAACATTCTAAGGAGCAAATTTAGCCTCTATCTTGATTTCATACCTATGGTCTCATTCTTGAGTGTCTCCGCGCTATTTTGCAAGAAAAACGAATACAACTCTATACAAAGCAGTTGATTACTTGAGGTAATTTGAATAAATTTACAAGTCAGTGTTACGATGAGAAAATTGGTTGTCTTTTGAGTTTTAGTAAAGTACAGATACGGATTGTTTTGATTGTTTTTTCTAAATAAATAAGGTGCAATTGTCATTCAATGAAGCAAAGCAAGCAGGTCTTGAGTCTTTACGTTTTTGATTTTCAAGTCACATGCTACAATCACACACAGAGTTGAATGTTTTACACTGATCTTGCAGTGATTCGAGTGGTTATAAAATTGATAGAAGTGTGTAAGCTGTAAGGAGATTAAGCCAATAAGAGCACTCAACGTGAGCAATCGTATATCAACGCAAATGTTATAGAATTGTGCGTGTTGGGCAATATTGCATGGCTTGCGCGACGTACGTGACGTACGCAGCGCACGCAGCGCACGCCGCGCAGGCTGGCTCAGCTTTACGCTTTCTCAATGCTATATCCTACTGACGCCTATCAAACACACCCATACTAATGGGGTGATTGGTAGCTAGGGAATCCTACATGAATCAATTAGGGCCTGCTCAAAAATGCTAATACTAGCCATCGTCTGTGTAACATCCACCTAGTGTGGATGTGACCGCCAAGACTACTCTGTCAACATAGTGTTGATATGTCAGTTCTATCAACAATCTTCCAGGAAGAACTGCATAAGCTTGAGTAGTTTCATCCCACAGGTTCTCAACCATCAATCCAAGTTCTTTGTGCTTTCTTTGAGCTCCTTTTATCCACGCCACATCCGTCTATTGCCTTCAGGGCACGTTGATCTTGATGCGTGGGTTTTGATGCGTGGCTCAAGTGCATTTTCTCCATCTCTGACCTCCTCAAACGTAAGCGTCCATCAAAGTCAGTCCAAAGGTCCTCGATCCTGAACTCTTCGCGCCACAGGTCGTGTTCCAGGGAAAAAGTGAACAAATAACCTTTCAAACCGGTTTACATCGTATTTCTCACCTTTCAGTGGCTTCACTCTTCTTCACTACAGACATATCGAACAAAAGTGCATAATAAACTTCTGTTCTGTTTTCTGTTTCTGTTGATCAGTTTTCACAGATCTGTACGAACTTTGCCTTGCTTTGCGCGATTTTCAAGTTATTCATTCCTACTGAGCAGAGGGAAATGTTGCAAGATTGCGTCGAGCATGGTTCACCAATGTCAAGTATCCTTTTGTAAGGTCATAGGATATCGATACACCACTCAATGATGGCGATTTGGTACGAAAACTGCATTATCTCGGTCCAATTTGGTCCTTAAAGGCACCATACAGCCAAATTCTCGACTTTTATTTTGGTCATTCCGAGGCCTTCTCGTGTCCGTGATTCTGAATATGAAGGAGAGATTCCGTAGGCCGTTACTCCTGAACGCTGATCGGAGAGGCGCAGGACGGGCAGGCATTACTGGAAGTTCGGTGGCGGCTTGGATTCTCTGCCTTTTCGTTATTCCTAAGCGATTTGCTTCCAAAGCGACATTTCGCACCGCGACCTGGGCACTGGCTTGATAGGGGATCCTAAGCTGCCAAAAGCTTAGGACTCAACTTGGGGTGGAATACCTTCAACACAGGCTTGACACTGTTGTATAACTTACGGTGCCCTTCGACACGGGCTTGAAACTTATGACTTATATTCGCAACCTTCATCATTTAGCTTCATAGAAGGACAAGTGACTTAAGCAGAATGCGGCGAGTCTAGGGAGAGTCAAGAAATCGTACAAAGCTATGAGAATCACTCCATAAAATTATATGCTTTTGTTCAATCTCTTTGTAGTGTGAAAAATAGAGAGAGGACACTTTTTGCTTGGTTTGAGCAGCTAGCTTGATGAACCTGTCTCAGCATGTCACGCACGCAGCAAAATCTTTCTTTTTCCTCTGCTTTGCTTATCCCCAAAACAGACCTCCAACGATTCCTTCAACTCGCTGAGACTCCGTAACTTCTTTTTGCCAGATCTCTACAATTTACCATGCGCAGCTCTTATATGCTTAGGCGGTGTATCGTCACAAACGCGTCAACTCAGCGAAGCGCTTTTACCTCCAATGAGGAAGAGTCCGTTGCGTGCGGTGAAATTTTGCTTTGGGCATCAGACACTGCCACAAAGCCGCCGCAAGCACTTTTGTTTGTGAAAGTGTCGCTACTGCATTAGTTCTTGTGGAAAGCATTCTGATCGTGCGAGGAAGTAGAATGCGAAGCTGCTGGAAAACGAAGCAATAAAAATATCAACTTGGTAATCAGCTGGTTCCCGCAAGTCACTGTAAAGGACTCACACGCATTCAGTAGCCTCTTTGACTATGAAGTAGAGTGAGTTGGGCGCATGCCCGCAGAGGTATCGGAAACGCCGAATTGTTTATCCTTTTAACATTGCAAAGACTCATTGTCTCTGCGCATACAAGATTCACGACTTTTTCGGGAAGGCCTAGTGGCTAATAGAGTTATTATTTGTTACTTATTATTCGTTTATTATTTGTCCATGTATCTTGCCGAGGAAGCAGTCCAACTATAGGAAAGTGACTAACACTATATTGTGCTAAATCAATCATTTGGAGCAAGTTGCCAATTATGCAAATCAAAGTCTCATGTGCGAAATGTGGAAATCACGGCGTTTTCGGAGTTGATGCTTTCGCGCTCTCTCGAAAAGGTTGTCAATTGAGGGGGGGGGACAGCAAAGAGCGAGTATCAGTGTAATTTTCAGCCCCAAATGCAGCATGAAACAAATATTTAAAGTAAAAATTACAATATTTGGAGCATGATGTAAAAGTCACTCTTTTTAGCGAGTTTTATACGCAAAAGCAAATGTGCATGCAGAATTGGAATCCTATGTAAGGTGATTAAAGGATCAGAGTCACACAGATTTTCTGAAAGGTTTGCTGCAAGGAAGAAATCAGTTAGAGAATTGATTAATTGTAACATATGTGCACTGTGCAACTGATTTTGCGCTTTTTCACTAACAGTCATAGCCAATCATTAATGTTATCCAGGGTCAAGCGTGGGGTGTGGCACGCCACACCTGGGGGTCGTAGAGGAGTAGGAAGAGGGGGGGAGATCGTTGTCCAGGTGATAGTGATGTTAGCGACATGATGCCAGTCAACAATGACTGATAGGCCCATTGTACAAGATACCAGTATTGATGTTTTGGCCTACCGTACACGCACAGTAAGCATAGAGCATCATTTTCTTGATTAGCATGTCGAATAACCCCTGGCCAAGTTTCAGCGAATTTGGAGGATTCCAAATATTGGGACACTCAATTGAGGTGGTCGTTTTTGAACATGGCAATTTGTTTCAAAGTGCATAAACTATTCTACTTCTTTTTGCACTCATTACAAACTACCGCTATTCTTTGATAACATTGGGAATCCCATACTTGTTCAACTAACCTCCAAACTCTAGAATTAAGAGCAGGCCAAAGTCTTGTTTGTCCCATTTTTTGCTTTCAATTTCTCAGACTAGAGAGAACCAATCAGGCTCAAATCACTTTTGAGAAAGTTATGAGGATCAGGCTATCATATACTTGTTCTCAGGTAATCGCCGGGGGCAGGCGGACCGCAAACTCGCGCTATTCTGCCAGCGGTCAGCAGAATTTTGGGGCGTGGCCAAACCTTCAGCGAGCGGTATCTTCTTTACTGCCGCATGCTCTGCCAGCGGGCAACCCTACAGAACTTTCTGCAAACGCTTGACAAACATTTCCTTTCAGTGAGCGTTGGCCAAACTTTCAGTAAGTGCTTGGACTCTTTCAACGCAGTTTCGGGAGTACGCCGAGCAAAGGTAAAACTCTACATTGCAGAGGTGTCATTGTGGTTTAACTACCCGAGTTTGAAGTACTCTCCTTTTGCGGAAGGTACCCAAGGGCTGTGCGGTCCTTCACAAAGGACCGTGCGTAATTTTGCATATTCTCGCGGAAAGTCCGCGAGAATGTGGCCACTGCGCCACAACTAATCAAAAAAGCCGCAGTTATTCTCCGCACATTCGTCTAAAAATTGGCCAACATTCTTCAAATTTTGCAAGCAGACCACAAGAAATCAGCGAACTATTTTTCCGGTGCCCACTTGTCCAAAAACCGCATGGCCGCCTACACCCGGCGATTATCTGAGTTCTTGCCGCCTTCCCTCGCGATTTACGTATAACGCAGATTTACGTATTACGGTGATCCAATATTTTCGCAGTGTTTTTCATTTGCTTAGCTAAGGAAAAATTATTTAATTTGAATGAAATTCATGCTATGTGAAGAAGAAGGTTTAGCAGTAGCAACCATATAAAAAACACAGAGATTTGAATGCTCTGAAGGTAAGTTTGTGGGGTGTAGCACAACCCATGAAAAGCTGTGACGATCATACCTTTCTAGGGGTTGTGCCACATCCCATTAACTTGCCTCCGAAAAGAATTTTGGCGAAAAAAATACGTATAGTTTGACAGCCTGTGTGTTGTATTTTCATAGGAAATTTGGGCCTAATTCTTCTTTTTTGCTTTGAGAAAAAGCTGGTGAAGGCGCAGCCATTGAAAGCAAAAATAGAACAAACGAAATTTTGGCGTGCTTCTAATTCCATAGTTTGATGGTTATTTGAAGCAGGATTTATGGTATGGGTAATTAGGGAATATCACTTTGTACTCAGTACAAAAAAGAGCTAATTCACTTTTTGAATATTTTCAATCATGTTTGAAAAAAACTTGGGTGTCCAATATTGGCAACCCTCAGGATTTGCTACGACTGAGTTCGTGGTGATTATTTAACGTGATAATTACGAATATGTGTCTAGTTATGCATGGTAGGCCTTTATGTCATGCCTACGGAAGGCAAGCGATAGTGCTGGTTGGGGGGGGGGGGGACTGGGACAGAAGAGGGGGCATTAAGACAAAAGATAGGGGGGGTCGTATCCGGCGCTTGTGCGCCACACCTCTTGCTCCACACCTTGACCCTGATGATATCTCCATTAGTGTTGAGATGATATATCACATTATGAACAAATGGTTTCGAGGTTTGAAAATTGAAAGCTTTTTCATTTCTTATACTGAAAATAGCAGAACTTTCTAACATATTTAGCTTGAACGATACGCTGTAATACCATTCCTTGTTTCCTAGAAGTGGGACAGAAGTTTTACTGTTCAAAAACACTCCCTCTCCCCCCTA